TTAGTCTTTATTTATGTATCTGTTAATGTGTTTTATATATATTAGTCTTTATGTATGTATCTGTTCATGTGTTTTATATATATTAGTCTTTATTTATCTATCTGTTCATGTGTTTTATATATATTAGTCTTTATTTATCTATCTGTTCATGTGTTTTACATATATTTAGTCCTTTATTTATGTACTGTTAATGTGTTTTATATATATTGGTCTTTATTTATGTATCTGTATCTGTCTGTCAGTCCTTGTCGTGTCGTTGTGTCATGTGGAGCTGAAACCTGCTGAGACGTTTGTTGACTGAAACTCAGTCGGATGAATTCCAGGAGGGAAAAACTTCAGAGACTCAGCGAGAATCGAGAACATGAAAACAAACTGAGAGGACCCGTTTTTAACAAGTCACACAACTCTGCAGGACCAGGTCTGGACCAGGTTTAGGACAGTTTGTGAAAGTCTGGAACACTTCAGATTCAGCACTTCCTGTTACTGCTTTCCAGTGAAGTGTGTGAGCATTTTATTGTGAAATACCGACAAGAAGTTCTGAGTGATGGTCAGCAGCTTCACTCAGTGTGGTTTCATTCAGGTTAGAAGTTTATTTCACTGAAACTGATCTCATTAAATCTTATGAATAACATGAGCAGGATCAATCAAATCTGTTTACATCAGTAAAAAGATTGATTTATTGATTGATTACTGATCTTAAAAATCAGACTGAAGCTATTCCTCCCAGAGAGAGAGACAGACAGACAGACAGACAGACAGACACAGAGAGACAGACAGACAGACAGAGAGAGAGACAGACACAGAGAGACAGACAGATTACGCTCAACCATTAACTGAAAAACAAATGATTGTTAAGCCAAGAAAAACAGAGAGAGGGAGGGTGTCAGTTATATTACAAGTGTCTCTCAACCACTAAACAGATAGGAGAGACAGACAGGCAGAAAGACAGACAGGAGAGAAACAGACATACAGAGAGAGAGAGAGTTAGTGCCGACTTTTCTTTTCTTCTTAAAGTCACTTAATATTCATGTCTATTATCTGCTTCTACACACTGTTCTCTCTCTCCACTCGTCTCTCCATCCATCCACCCGTCTGTCCACCCCTCCAGTCGTCCATCAGCCTGCAGACTGTAAGTACGTTTCCACTGTTTCCACAGAAAATCCTCTTTTCATTCTCCTTTCATTCAGTTGCAGCAGCAGTAATCTTTTAAGAACTCTCACCAGACTCCATACAAATATTTCACCTTTTTAGAGTTCACTGTAAAGCCACTTCTGCAGTTCTGCTGTTATCATAAGATATTCAGCAAATATTTTTTATGGAGGACTGACAGCAGAACGAGCAGGCAAATAACTCAGGTCTGGAATAGTCTGGAAAAGGTCTGGAATAGTTTGGAATAGTCTGGAATAGTTTGGAATAGTGTTGGAAAAGTTTGGAATAGTTTGGAAAATATTTGGAATAGTTTGGAAAAGGTTTGGAATGGTTTGGAAAAGGTCTGGAATAGTCTGGAAAAGGTCTGAAATAGTTTGGAAAATATTTTTGGTTAGTTTGGTTGAGTTTTGGCGAGTTCGCATTTTAAAAAATAAACTTTAATACAAATTGAATAATTTGTATCTGTTTGTTTTGTTCTCAGGTTCATTCTGCTGGAACTGAACTCAAACCCTGAAAACACATCTGTTTGTATTATTATTGTTGTTGTTGTTGTTGTCATTATTAAATGAACACTTGATGGAGGAGCTGAAAACATGAGCAGTTGGTTGTAGAAAATATTTCAAAGGTTAAATTTAAACGTTTAAGATCAGACTGCGGAGATGGGCTTTGGTGAGCTGCTGGAGGAGGTGAGTGAGCGTCTGCTGTAATCTGATTACTGATTACTGTGAAGTTACTTCACCTGAACACACCGGTTAGGTAGAACAGGTGTCTAACATGTTCCCTGTCCTGTTGCCATGGTGAGGTCGGAGGGTTCGGCAGGTACCAGTGGATCCACGTGACTCTGATCAGTTTACCTGGACTGATGATGGCGGGTCAGAACCTGCTCAACAACTTCGTCTCAGGAATCCCCGCCCACCACTGCAGCCTACCGGCCAATCACAGCCTCTACAACCTGTCCCACCACCAGGTAACACACCTGTCTGTCTAACACTGCCTGAATGAATGTGATTGGTTTGATTGATGGATGAATGTGATTGGTTTGATTGATGGATGAATGTGATTGGTTTTAATTGATGGATAATGTGATTGGTTTGGTTGATGGATAATGTGATTGGTTTGGTTGATGGATGAATGTGATTGGTTTGGTTAATGGATGAATGTGATTGGTTTGGTTGATGGATAAATGTGATGGTTTGGTTGATGGTATGAATGTGATTGGTTTGGTTGATGGCATAATGTGATTGGTTTGGTTTGATGGATAATGTGATTGGTTTGTTGATGGATAATGTGATTGTTTGGGTTGATGGATGAATGTGATGTTTTAGGTGGATGAGAACAGTTGTTGAGAGCTTTATCCCTCTGGAACTCTTCAGGAAATAAAATGGACCGCTGCAGGAGGTAAACGTTGTTTGTTTGTGTATTTCTGTTCAATGCTGCATTGTATTGATTGGTTGACATTTCCTCTGACAACACACCTGTTCCACTTGTTGTTCAGGTTTGTGGAGCCTCAGTGGCACCTGTTAGCTGCTAACAGCTCAGCTAACGTTAGCCAACTACAGACGGAAGGATGTTTGGACGGATGGACGTTCGACCGCTCTGAGTTCCTTGCCACCACCGTCTCTGAGGTAATGAGAAAACTGATCACTGATATTGATCAACATCGAGGTTGATGATTATTAATGAGGTTAGAGGTGATATTCGTTAGCACAAAGTTTTTTGATCCTGTTGCAGGTTATATTGATCCTTTAGGATGTTGTATTGATCCTTTAGGAGGTTATATTGATCCTTTAGGATTATTTAGGAGGTTGTAGTGATCCTTTAGGAGGTTGTACTGATCCTTTAGGAGGTTGTACTGATCCTTTAGGAGGTTGTATTGATCCTTTAGGATCATTTAGGAGGTTGTAGTGATCCTTTAGGTGTTAAGTTCTTTAAGTCTTGTCCAAAGCAGAGACTCACACACACTGGTGAGTGGGAACT